ACCTATCAGTTGATTTTTGATTACACTGGCGGATAATGGATAGATAATTCAATCGATTGTAAAATTCCAACGTAAACAACTCGTCTAAATACCATACCATGCTAAAAATTAGGAAGGTCATACAATGGTTTCTGTGAAAATATGTTTTGATCAGTGTTAGACCCCTATTAGAAACCTGGAAGGGCTGGACGGCCTTTTCGTGATAGTATGAGACTCCTCAATTGGAAATTGAACCTAGAAACTTTCGTCTCATGTGTGAATGCTTGACATCTTGATCACTAAGCCCGTATCCTATGGTGTTAGCGTCTAACTTCAATCAATCAGTGGGTAAATAACTGCCTCACAACCAACGCAGTTGAACTTCTTCGGTCGCGGCTTCTCATTCGCATTCCCTTACGAAGCTAGTCATTAGTTAGCCCATGATAACTGTTATTATAGCGTTGCAGATATTGCTGAGTTTCATTAATAGGAGTTAAACAGTAACACAATTAGATACCGGCCCACTGATCAAGAGGTTAAGCTCTCCCACGCAGTTGCGAATGTCCTCAGTTCAATTCGCGCTCACGGAGCCGTGGAAACGCACTGTTGAAGAATTCTTAAGTAGGAAAAAATAGTCGTCCAGTGCTTCCAGCTTCCCAATAATTTCAACGAAACTAAGCAATCTTCAAAACTCTTCGATGATAATTATGTAATGGGATTTACCCAGTTGAGGCATCAAGTAGAAAAGTATGAGACGTTGGTATATTGTGACAGATCATTATGGTTTTCGAGATGATTCAAGTTTAAACAAATACCAAACGGAATAACACTAGTCTGTCAGTTCTACTATGCATTATGTACAATATCTATTTCGATTTAACCACGGTATGTTTAATTATTGTGTTAGTTTTCATTTACTTCCGAAAAATGTGTCAGGCTATCAAAAAGTACAAAGATTAGGAAGTCCTCACCACCTGAGCCAGATAAATGAATATCACACATATCTACAATTAATTTTCCTCATGCATTTTCTGCTCATGAACTAAACTATATGCAATTTTGTATTAGTACAAATCTAAATGAGGTTGCCCTCTGGTGTTCAGAATGAAAGTCGGAACTTGGTATTGCTATATATCGATGGATTTTCTTTGGTCATCTTTTTCTCAGCCTAGATGTTACCATAACTGGTAAGGTGCTATCTAAGTTCTACATAACTCGGTAACATCAGTGATAAACAAGGTGGATATAGTGCAGATGTGAAGACACAGGTTAGCAAAGTAAGGGAAATATTTCTACAACTGAAGAACATTTTAGACTAAAGACAACTTTCAAACAACACTAAAGTCACAATTTTCAATACAAACGTTAAAAACAGTTCTATTATATTGAGGAGAAACGTGGAGAACTACAAGAGTCACTAATTAAAACGGTACAGATTTTTAATAACAGTTGTCTGCCCCAGCTATTGAGGATCCGTTGACTAGACAGTATCAACAACAACCTAATGAGGGGGAGAACAAACCAGAGTGCAACTGAGGAAGAAATTAGGAAGAAGTGCTGGAGGTGGATAGGAGATATGGTGCAGAAGGCAACCAACTGAGTCACAAGGCAAGCCATAACTTGGAATCCTTAAGATTAAGAGAAAAGAGATAAACCAAAGAATAAATCGCGTTAGGAATCAAATACAGACGCAGAAAAAATTAGCAATTCGTTAGGACTGGAAAGAAATGAGCAGCATAGAGTTAGTTGGAGAATGCTGATCGGTGCACTATGCTCCATTGGGGGTGACAGGTGTCAACAAGTAAGCTATCTAAGTTTTATACAAAATCTGATTATCAGAACAAGTTTTATTACAAACTTTTAAGTATCACCAACTTTTGTATTACATAGTATGCAGCCTCTGTGTATTTCGATACACAAAATATGTTTCCGACCAATTCTAGAATGCTGTGATTTTGTTTGGAGTAGTTTTTGTGTTAAGAATATGTTGGAATCTCTTTAGCGTTGATGCAGGCTTTATATTCTTCGGAACGATTATACTTCAAACGAGGACTGGATATTTTATCGAGGAGGAGGAGGAGACTTAAACTAAATCTAACTTTTTTTTTTAAAACTACCAAATGAACTATTTTTTTACATCCATTGATTCAGTGTCCAATGCAGAATCACCAAATTGTCGTATTTGTAACTTTATCAAAGAAAAAAAATTGTCTCATTCTAAATTTACTTTTTATTATAAATTACCGTGCAAGTAAATTCTTCAAATTCAGGAATAATTTGCTACAATCTATTCAAGAAATAAAATCACTACTAACATTGTTGGTACAGTGGCACTGATGATTACTACTCCTCTGATACTGAATTAAAAAAATGCTTACATCAATGAATACATTTCAGTGTACTAGTAAACTTATAAAGGTATTACATTTTTAGCGACTATTTTTACTCGGTATTCTCATTGAATTTTCCTCTTTGCAGATATATTACCCTTACACTATCCCTGGTCAGTTTAATCAGTTTCAATAATATTTATCAAAATTAGTGGGTCATAAAACAAATTAGCAAGTATATGTCAACAGACCTATCACACGATGTTTTACTATTAGTGTTGTTCCATGCTCTTCAACACACCATTCACGGATTGACAGAATGTCTCATTATTTCTTTATAGCAATTGTTGATTTCCAACTATTCTTTCAAGGTAAAAGGAAAAGAGGAAGGCCAAAGAACACAGTACGCCGAGAAATAGAGAAAGAATGAACAAAAATTGCAAAGAACTGGAAAGGGAAGCCTAGGATAGAGTTGATTGGAGAAAACTGGTCAGTGGCCTATTCTCCATTGGGAGTAAGAGGTGTAAGTAAAGTAAATTAGTTTGAGGCAATGTAATTTGTTTGAATAAGTGATATTATATGGGGAATTATTCATCTTTGAGGAATACTTTGCTGGAGTGTATTTATAATGTGTCATTAGCATTTGACGAGTTTATGGAAAGATCAATAATCACTGGTGTTTGATAATCTATTTTTTAGTGTGAGTGTTACGCACACTATTATCCATAGAGTATTCGCCTTCATACCTGTCCTCAGTGACTATATCAGATTTGTTTATTCAATGGAAAATTAGATGCTTCAACTAGTTCAATCCCCTGTGTAAGTGACTTTTCATCAAATAATTTTATTTATCAATTTTAATACATACGAAATAATTCGAGATATTTTTTGGCTGACATTTTTTTTTTAGATGAATACACTAGTCGGTATATTGTTTCTCGTATTTGATTTCAGATAAATAAGTTAAGGTGAAAATATCAAAGTGAAACAGACAATATAAATGACATTTTCTTTATATTTATTGACCAGGAAGTTAGATATATACAGAGTCCTATTCAATCCCAGTTGATTTCAATATTGTTGAAGGAATGATGAATATAGAAAAATGATTTCTGCTGACAGTAGGTAGGAGGTATCAGTTGTTAATATTAAAGACGAAAAAATCTATTCATAAATTTGAATAGGAGATTATTACATCGGTGGTCCAGAGGTTAGGTGTCGGCGTACAAGGTCGAAGGCCCTGGTACGAATCCTGTCAGTAGAAAGAGTCGTGGATACAAACTGCTGAAGAATCTCATATCAGGACGAAATTACCGTCCAGTACTTCCTGGTTTCCAATCGTCATCTAACGTTGACGGATTCACGATTTCAAAGTAATTCAACAATCTCCACAACCTTATAATAAAATCTGCGTTTGTAATTTGTCTGTTATCATCTATGTGTTCAAAAATCCCTGTTCAATGATAAATCTTGTTTTTTTTTAATGATTTCTAATATTAATTTCATTTATTTTCTGACAGTTGATAAGCTTTTCCAAAAGAATTCTCCAAAAGTCTCACGGAAATCGTAAAACTGTCATCCTTATTTCATTTGACTTCAATCGATTTGTACACTAACTCATATTGTACAGATTCATATTTTCTCTCAGTTAAAATGTTCCATTTTTGACAGATCAAACTAAATTCACTTACTGCTTTATGTGATTGATTTTTTCACTTTGGTAGAAATCAGTGAATTCATTGTCTTTCACTTTTAGTAAGAAGGTTTTGTATCGGTCATAGTGAAAGTGAATGAAAACTACTTATATTTGTTCTGTTATCAGTATTGGTATTTTAACAATTTCATATTTTAAAGAAATTTTATTTAATGGGAACCATGAACTAGTTCTAATGTGAGGAACTATTACTAGTTTTATCTGGTACATTATGACCTTAAATTACTTAAAATCATGAATCGATCATTGTTAGACCACAATTAGAAACCTAGAAGTATTGGACGGCCGTTTCGTCATGTTATGGGACGCATCAGCAGTGTGCATCCACGACTCCTGCGACTTACAGGATTCGAACCCAGGACCTTCGGTCTTACGCGTGAACACCTAACCTCTGGACCACTGATGCGGTACCTAACGGTGTTATTATCTAATCTTAATCAATTCAGCGCTGGATGCTCACTGCTGATGAGACGCATAGCAGAACGAAACGGCCGTTCAGTGCTTCCAGTTTTCTAATGGTGGCCTAACATTGACCGATTGATTATTTCAAAAAATTACTCAACCATCTCCGCAATCGCATAATGCTTGAAGATTTGTGTTTCAGCTTAATTCTATTTTTATCTTAAAGTAAAAGTAAACTAGGGATTCTGATTTTGTATGGTAAGTGAATTCTGCGTGACTGTTGGAACAGTTATCAAATACAATCAGTGAAAATTATTTTCTTTTTACTTCTGATGTAGTTGACTCAAGTCTTTCTATTTTAAAAGTTAATTTTAGTGCCCAAGTCTCATGTTCAGATTAATTGTCCAGGGCTTCTTGATTTTCAATGGGTTCCTTAATCTGATAACAGTCGATATACAATAACATGTACAAATGAATGTTATTTAATTTAATGTTAACATAATAATCAAACAGTAGTATTAAGCGTTTGACCGATAAATAGAAAAAGTAAAATAAAACAGATTATCGGTTAATTAATAAATCATCATCGGTCATGTTCATTCAAGTACCATTTTATTTGTTTACTAATTTTATTTACGTCATTATTACAAATTATCGAATGCAAATACAATACAATGCAATGCAATGCAATGCTGTACAATTGAACTTCATTATTTTTCTATGAAACAAAGTAAAAACTATCCAGATTAGAGTGTGGAATTGATTTTTTGAGAGAAAGTTGACAAATAACAAATCGATAAACTAAATACAATTTTACATACGATTGCTCAACACTCTTCCTTTTTTTTTCCAGCAAACACATGTGTGGAAATTGTTCATTGATTATCAGATAAATAGTAATAGCAATCATAATCACTTTTAAACAAATATTACCATTGAGCATGTACTATGAGTAAGAATAATGGGAATAATAATTATTATCAATGATGTAAGCAATTGTTAATGAATGATTTTCAATGAATACAATGATCAATTATTAATTACCCCTAAAACCAAAAATATCATCGTATTACATTAACGATGCTAACTACATCATCGTCATCATCGCGCCAAAATATCACAATCATCATCATCATGATCAATATCAGTTGAAATAAACAAAAAGAAAAAAAGAGAGAATATTGTTGACGTCATGTTCATTGATCATTTTGATTTGTAGTGCTTTTTTGCAAAATATGAATTTCAAACAGAAATAACGATGAATTGAACAAAAACTCCAATAAACGAAAGTTCAGAAGAAAAAAAAAAACTCAACAATAATAATTTTAAGTACTTTATCATTTGTGTTGTAGGGCAATCGAATTCAATTTCAATGTGTTCAATGTATGTTATTGTACAGTTTCAATGATGATGATTACTGTTACTATTAAGCAATTGTATGCATTAAAAGGGAATTATTGGAATCAGGGTTTGTGTGTGTAAGTATGTCCGTGTGTCCGTGTGAGTGTTTGTGATATTAAAAAAAAACAAACTGGAAAGAACAAAGTACAAATTGTCATTTAGTAGTTGTTTGTACAGCAGATAGATAAATTAAATTTCATTTCTGTTATATGTTAACTCAGAACAATACATATTATTATCAATGTGTATATATATGTATCTATATATGAGAATTGACAGTGTTGCTAATGATGTGTCTAGTTTGTTAGTATTAATGCAGCTGTTGAAATAAATATATAAAAATACTTTACATTATTTTCACTAAATAATTCTGTTATGATTGATTGTTTTAAATTAAGATTTTTCATATTGTTTCAATTCATTGTTGATGTTGACATATTACGACTTCCTGATTGGGATTTGGTCGAATTACGCTGTGCAGTAGATTTACGTTGATTTGTAGCCTGTTGATGTGATTTTGTATGATGTACACGAAAAGCGGTATAAGATGAAAATTCTCGATCACAATCTGTACATGATACTAAACTGGAAGGTTGATGATTCCATTGTGGTATGACTGATGGTGATGATGATTGCTCATTAGCATTACCACCAGAGGAAGTATAATTTTGGTTGGATAAATTTTCTGAATAATTTATTGGTTGTTCTTGTTCTTGTTGACGCTGATGTTGGCGATAATGCTGTTGTAACAGTAAATTTGGAGTAGTTGACGTTGAATTAGTGATTTTCATATCCCAATCACTATTAGAAGGGATTGTTTCATTTAATGAATGACATCTTGTCAAAGGTTTCATAAAATTCATTGCTTCCGATGTTGTTACTGACAAACATCTTAGATATTTAGAATGTATTGAGATTGGATGTTTGTTTAATTCATGAATATGTTGAAATATATGAGAATCTTGACGATAGTTTGGAGATTGAATGCCTGATGAATTGGATTGACTGCTCTGTTGAATATAATTACATGCTGTACTTGTCAAGTCTGTTGGTTCTTCCATTGACAATCCTATACAATTTGGTTGTATCGATGGTGTTCCTATAGTAGACTTTTGCTGCATATGAATTGCATGAATAGAGTCATGAGGATGATTAGTGTTGATTGTTTTTTCTGTAGAAAAATTCGAACTGATAAAATTAGAAATCAAATTAAATAATTGTTGATTTGATGTAGGATTTTGATTCACAAATAGATTTGAATTAAATCCATTCGTTGGTAATAATGCATTGAGTAAAGCATTTGATGTCAATGATAATAATTGTTGACGTAATTCATCCGACTGATAGGCATGCATTAAAAATAATCGTACAATCTCTTGCATTTGTAATCCACTTTCATTTTCTTGTACCATATTACCAATATCATTCACATTATTACCAGTATTATTGTTGCTTGATGGTCTAGGTGATATTGTAATAGAAGGGGAATTTTGACTTTTTGCCATTTTATTTTCTCTTGGACATTTTATACTACTGTCAGTTTTTAAAGTAGTCACACAATCATCATCAACAGACTTACAAGTTGATAATCGTGATCTCTTACCTGCAGATGATTGATGATGACGTTTCACTTCACCTGAACTATTTTTAGCTTCATTATTATTATTTGCATCATTGTTGTCTTTTAACTTATTCATAAAAGCTTTACGTTCAACAGCTCTTAAAGCTTTTAATTCTAATAATTTGGTATTTTGTACACTAGTTGGTATAAGTTTACCTTCTTTAATTGCTTTTAATTTCAACACTGGACAATTACGACCACGATGATAATGTAGATTACTTGGAGAAGTGTAACGTTGTCCACAATCATCACAACAATATGGTTTTTGACTAGGTTCATAATGAGATTTGTAATGACCGGTTAATGAATAACGATTAGCAAATAATCTTTTACATATACGACATTTATATAAACCATCACTTGTTCGAAGACTTGTATCCATTGTTTCAGACTTTGTAATAGTTGGCTTAGAGCAGTTTGAAGGTTCCATGTCCGATTGTAATGAATTTGTGTTGTTAGTTGAAAAATCATACTTTAAGTTCGCGTCTTCAACTTCAGTAAAACTATAGGCTTCATTTGAATCAAGAGGATGAGAATGATTTCTTTTTAATGAAGAGGCAGGAGATTGATTAAAATTTGAAATATAACAGTCATTATCTTTTGCATTGGCATTCAATGAAAGTGTTCTGTATAACGATGAGGAATTTAGTGAAGTAAACGCTGAATAGAAAAATTCAAGGGACAAGTAAATGGAAGTGTAGAAAGAAACCATAATTCAGTTGAAGTACAGTTTTAAACAAAATGAAAAGTTATTGAGAAATGAATAGTAAATTAAATTTGATAATCAAAAACTTTAGTCTGATAGAATATTTTTTTAGACACTTGTGTCTGGTTTGATTAAAATTTCTTCAAGAGTAGTCTGTCTGATATCATGAAACTTTTATAATTTCACTGTAAATGTCTGTTTAGTGAGGTGATCATTAAACGCAAAAAATGATTAGTGAATCTCATGTATATCTTAAATAGTTAATTGGAGAAGTTATGTTTTTCACTAATATAGTCCAGTTATTTAAAACAAAAAGCATATCTTATCCTGGATACCCGGGATATTACCCCTAACTTAGGTCTCATCTGGTCGAAAAGTGAAAATTTCGATATTGTGAAAAAACCATTACCCGACATGAGACAAAGTGTAATAAAAGTGTTTTATCCCGATGGCATCAAGTTTGGCTGCCTCTGTTGCTATTCTATGCCATGCGATGTGTATATCATATACTATACTGCTATATATAGAGCTGAAGTTTTCTTATGAGACCAGAGGTTCGCTGTGAACATTGTGGATGGCTTGGCATTGCTTTGGCAAGTATTGCTAACAGTTCAAATAAAAATTTGGTTAGCAGGTTGACCGATTTCATTGATATTAGTGGTTGTTTTTCAACATTCTCGAGGGCCATTGTCATTAGGATGCTAATATAATATTGAGTTTGACAGTTATGTAAACGGGATGTGTCAAAATGGCCTGTTCATGCGCTGCATATTGATTGACGCAATCATGGATCGGAAAAAATCACTATATATGTACTGGTGTATATAATTGGTGTGAATGGTCCACCAGGGTATCAGGGTACCTGTGTGGTTACACCACAGGATTGAGCCGAACTGTTCACGTTGAAATATTAACACGTGGGCAGTCTCCTTAGTTCTCCTGTAAACCAATGTAAAATTACCCTTGTCAATAGAGGGTTAATTTGTATGATTGTGAAAAATAATAAAATTTTGTATCCTCGACACTGTCCAACCATCAGTCCTGTGTATGTTTATTTTCACAAGAGCATCTTTCACAACTACTACTATCAACAAATATCTCTCATGAAATAACAAAACTCAAAAACATATTGAATACTAAATAGTGTACAAAACGAACTGAAAAAATGTATTAACTAACATGATACTTAGAAGTTTCATTTTATATTTTTTTTATTCAGTTAACCAGGTCAAAAACAATAAAAGCAAAATAACCTGAACAATTACTGATGAGACGTTGCAAAATCTCTCGATGTCATCATTGATAAGATAATACAGAATGAAGTTCAAACCTGTAAGTATATTTCTATGTCATATGTTCAGAAAAAAAAACGATTACTTCATCGGTTCCATCGTGTAATTAGTCATACAGTTAACAAAACAATTTAAATATTAAGTACCATTTGATTATACTTTAGATTCGAATGAGATTCTGGGTCTTTTCAATGAAACCCTAATATAATATTCTTAATTTTTAGCATGGCATGGTATGAAGACGAGTTGTTTACGTTGGAATTTTAAAATCGATTGAATTATCTATCCATTTATCCACCAGTGTAATCAAAAATCAACTGATAGGTAACACATAGATTACGTAGACAAAGTTTAGTTCTGTAAATGAGACTTGATAAATTCTCCTCCCACACAATGTCTGTTGTTGAAATAACTATCGTCTAACTAAAATCGTTATCATTGAAAGATTAATTGTCAACTGATAATGGAATTTGGTCAAATGAACAGATCTTATCATTTTGATAGTAAACTGTATTATAAGTTGACTACAGTTTAGATTTACATATAGTTCAGTGACTGGATGGTAAAGTGTTCAGTGTGATATCTGACTGTCCTTAATATAACTCGATATGAGATTGTGAATACTCTCTGCTAATTAGTTCCAGTTCAAGGGGTTCAATAGTTGATATTACTTGCTGATGAAAACTTTCTTCACATTGAACAATATTCTTAAAAAATAATAAATACACTGCTTCAAAATGATCATTTCCGCAAAAACAACTCATAAAATTTTGTTTTAAGCTAATTAGTAAAAAAAAATAAAAATCAGGAAGTATGAGTAGTGTATACAATAATCAGTGTGATCATCATTCTTTTTGGCAGGTTATTTTACTAACACCAAACAGCAAACATATGAACGAATATTTATGATGTATGCTAAAAACAAACAATCCTGAATGTTTCAATGATATGATGAAAATTGGCAAATAAACAGAATAACATAGTGAATGAGGTCAATAGACTGCTCATATTTTCTTAGACTATATGTATACATATACACATATGTTTAGACAAGTAGTCTTTGTATTATCTTTCAGTAGTCTTGTCACATCATATATCTCATTTCTATAATCAATAAGTTGATGGTGGTTGTAAATGTTATTTTTTACTACATTTTTTTTTCAAAAACAGTTCAATGAATGATGACTATATTCAACGTAGATAATAATAGAAATGCTTTACTGTAAAACTATACAGCTTGTTCATAGTTTTTTCATAGTTGTAGAAAAAAAAAGTGAATTTGAACATGAACATGAAACAGAATGAAATCCGATAGCTAGGAGGTAAACAGAATGAATTGACAAGAGAGTTAAGATAATTTGTAATAAATCAACTACACTAATAAGTACACGATTGTAGTTCTGTTAGAGACTAATTTAATTTTTTTCAGATGATATTAGTCAAGGGGATGTATTAAACGACCTATATCTTAACAATGGATGAATTTTCGAAACCATGAATCGATCAACGTTAGACCACCATTAGGAACCTGCAAGCACTGGAGGGCCGTTTCGTCCTGGTATGGGACTCACTACCAGTGGACATCCACAACTCTTGCACCTCACAGGATTCGAACCCAGGACCTTCGGTATTATACGCGAACGCCTAACCACTGGACCACCGAGCCGGTATCTAATGGTGTTAATGTCTCACTTGATCAATTCACGGAGTTGCGCAACCTCATACACAGTCTTCAGTAGTTACATTGATCGATTCATGGTTTCAAAAAATGTGTAACTTAACAATCTTCACAAACCCGTAATGCAAATCTTATTTTTGATGAAATCAAATCGAAACCTGTTATCCAAGTCAGCAGCTTCCTAGAATCAATAGCTAAGTGGTTAACCTGATGATATGGAAGAGAACAGAGGTCGGTTCGAGTCACCAAGAAATAACTAACTCTGCAAAGCAGATATATCTAGTTGAAGAGTTCCAAGTTAGAAAGAAACGTGCGTCCTGAATTCCACTGCTAGCCATATGTCATCTATTCTTGACTAAGTTCTTCATATGGTTGTTTCAGCATAAGTAGCTGATATGTAAATGTGTAACATTCAGATAGTCTAGTGGGCTAACAACAAAATAATATCTGTATGAGACGCTAGAAGAAAACTATTCATTCATAAAAATCAATGTCCTGAACACATTAAAGTAGTTTATACATGAGTTAGTTAATTTTTCTTCGAATAAATTTACCTGATTCCTTCTTTTCCACTGTGTTCAATTTCTTCAATGTTATTCGAGTTGTTAAATTTGACTTGGCCGCTGCATTACATGATGATGATGATGGTAATGGTGATGATGACGATGATGATGATGATGACGATGACGGTGACGCTGATGATGAACATGGGGATGGGGCAGAGGAAGAAGTAGGAGGTGAGAGACAAGTAGTGGATGTTGACTTTATATCATTCATTGAATGTGTTTTGTTTAAATGATTATTCTATAAATAGAAAATGAAATAAACTTTTAACTGGAATGATAGCATAGTTAATAATACAAATAGACATGTTAACATTAACGACAACACTGAAGTGATCGAATAATGTACGTGTTTATCTGTTTGAATGTGGATAAAAACAATTGAACATAACAAATGAATCAGTGATATGAAATTGAAAATTCACGCTACATTACAAAGTAACTTATATTAACACTATGTAAAAAATAGGACTTGAAGTTGATTGCTCAAACGGTTCATGTATACTATAAGATTAGTAGATTCTATGTTCCAACTCATATATAAAGTATTATTTGCTTACTATTGAAGAAGAGGTCTAGACTAGAACTTAACATCTATTCAATGCTTTGTTTGTTCATTTTCGAAGTTCAATATTCTTCAAGTCAAACTCGAATCGATTTTCATTTCAGTTTATTAAATCCAAAAATGAATATCATATTGATTTAATTATGAAAATTATTAACAATTTATGCGTGAAAATTAACATAACATCGATTGTGTTATTGTCTAGAATTTCACTAAATTGACTGAATATAATATTTTTCAAAATAAAAAGTTTTTATTTGAAAAAAAAAAAACTTTTTATACCAATAAAAAGAAAATTCGATTTTTTTTCGGATTTTTTAAATAACAAATAGTTATTGTTAACTTATTTAGGAGAAAAAAGTAATCGTGAAAAAAAACACTCCAGATTTACTAGCATAATACTAATAAGTTGAGTAACTAACTAAAACTATCTTAATGTCATGCAAAATTGACCGGCGGTACATTTAATCGGTTTGCTACATATTTAAAAAACAAATTAATACAAAAACCATACAATCAACAAAATTGATCAAAAAAAGAATTCTAATAAAATTTGTACAACATATATATATATATATATATATATATATATATATATATGCTATTAATTACACGAGTAGGTTCAAATTTTACTAGTCAGATGAAAGACCTGTAGTGAATTGAGACTACTTATCACGAGATAACCAAGTTAAATCCCGTCGAGGCCAAAAATCAAAAGTCCATCTGTGATTGTAGGACGAGGTGCATTGATTAATGATCTTATGATATCGAAAAGATATTGACATAGTGAAATAACCACCGATAAAAACCACCGAGGCCACCGAGCAACGTTAGCAACACGTTAAACGCATAAGAATGGCTTTTAGTGCAGTTAAACAAAAGGAGTACAATAAAACAACAATCATTGTTACAATTGTGTACAATAATAAATGTTTCCATTTCACCGATTGCGTTCTCTTCGTAAAAGCATTACACTACAGAAGCCTCCCTAGAAAGAGTTAACACGTTCGATACGGTAGCGGTTACGTTCGGAGGGAGGTTGGTCGGTCAATCATTTGACTCAGAGTTGAAAATCATTATGACATCCGTTTGAAAAGAATTCTCAAGCTGTTGATGACCTGTCATGATCGATGGAATTCAACAATGTCTCATCAGTGATTTGTATGTTCAATTGTCTACATCTGATGATGGTGACGCAAGATTGAAAATTGACCGGAATAAAAATTATGGCCTTCTGGATGTTGGCTTAGTAGTCTAAAGGACATCGAATACACTATGGTCGTTAAATCTTTAGGGATGCTGTGGTATAGTACATTGAGGATAGACCTCGTAGATCTGAAGAGATATTGGATTTTCAACAGTGCTTCAGTTCGCATCAATCCATAATGAAAATTATTTTGAATATAAAATGAAATTTCCATTCCATATACTTCTTCTAACAGTCATAACTGTGAGTCGTATAAGTGATCTTATAATGAATGATAAACAGACAGTGATTGATTGATTAGTAATGTTCTGCCATTTCAATGTTGAAAGACAAAAACCTTGATCAATTTGTTGATCAGATTCATGATATGTATAAATTAAATTGCCAGGAAAATTCTTAATCTAATTCAGATTGTACAACTGAGTTCCAAACTAATTATGTCAATGATCATCATTGTGTGTAAATATCGTAAAACTATAGTTTTTAATTTTCGTCAAATTTACATATTCATTTACAGAAAATACTATATAAACGCTAAATACGAATAAATCAGTGGCAACAATATAAACTAATAACTTTTTCGACTTAATTCATTTAAGTCAGTGTGCTCACTGGTGACTAGCTTCGTGAGGAAATTCTCGGAGTTCCATTGAGGAAACATGACCGTTAGAGCTCAACCCGGTCGGATGTAGGCAGCAACTACCGAAGACAAATAGGTGAGGTTGCCTTAAGTCCTTAGATAGATAAGAGTTAGACATTAACACTGCTAGGTGTCAGCCCAGTGGTCTAGAGCTTAAGCGTTTGCGTGCAAGACCGAAGATCCTGAGTTCGATTCCCACAAAAGGGCGTCGTGGATACGCACTGTTAATCAGTTCCACATTAAGTTGAAACTGCCGTCCAATACTTCCAGTTTTCTAATGGTGGTCTTGTTACGTATGCACATAAACATGTCATTTTGATATGCTTGAACTATTACCAGTTTACCTTAGTCGGAAAACGAGAGCGCGAGGATCGAGGATCCGGCGAAACGACATGCTAATCAAATCCGAGTGTCCCAACCTCCATTGAATAAAACAAGAAAACTTGATATGGAGGAGAACCTGTATTCTGCAAGCATCGAGAAAGTACGATGTCCGAATCCAAAAGGGAATCAGGATCCCGGACTAGGGATCCGGGTCCTAGAACGTTACAGATAATGCATATTTATACATTTAAGTTGAATAGGAAACAACATTGGAGTACGTGACATTGATGTCTAGGACGACCATGAAATTGACCAGTAGGAATTAACCAATAGCAATTGACCAATAATTCTCTTAGGATATTGGATGAATATCCTAACAGGTCTAACAATGATCGATTCATGAATTCAGTAAATATTCGATTATCTATGACTGATGATATTTCAATAAGGAAGTCAATATCTTCATCTACCATGGTCGATAAAAATGTGTTAAAATTATTTAACTCTAGGACTTCGTTAACTTCATCATATTCATAAATTTTCGAATGACTTCATACAATTTTACCAATCACATCATACAGGCATGTTAATATGCAAGCACACCAGTTATTGACAAGATTCATTTGTTTCTAATATATATTCATTCACTTGTAAATAAGTTTTTCTGTAATCGAACAGTGGAATAGTGCACATTGTTATGATAGAGTTTAACTTTAAATCGTTTAAATGTTTATGTAAGACAATCCGAATATCGTCACCGTCATGTACATAGACTATGACTTACTAGTTATTATTGTTAATTATCATACTATCTCATTTTAATTAATAAATGATTAAAAAAGAGATCTACTTATTCTTCTTATATTCTTCTATTAGATTTTAAATTTAAGTCTCTAAATCAGTGATTTTTCCTGAATTCTTTCACAACCCGCACCACTGTAACTGATCGTCTGATTAGACAATCAATACTCAGTGAATAATTCAGTCTATTCAATTCTTTGATCTATTTTCGGTTGTGTAAACTTAAAAGATGTTGAAATTTTTTTGTTTTTATACGCCTCCATTGAAATCGACAACATAAAGTCTACAAATTCTTCATAGGGTGTTTGATAAAAGCATTAATAATAATAATAATAATGACTAAAAATTATAAGAAAATACTTTTATATTGCTGAAAAACAAAAAAAAAGATCAAATAAATATACAATGAAAACTGATTCCACTGTGATCTCATGTCCAATTGGTGCGAAGAAAACAAAAAATAAATACAATGTTCAATAATTCATGTGATTATTTCAAACAAACAAAAGAAAGAAAGAAAGCAAGAACACGTAACTATTGGACAATCGATGAGTAAATCTACGAATATTGATAAAAAAAATTGTTTTTGGGTAAATAATAAATCACAAAAAACTAATTTATAACTAGATATTGTAGCCAAAAATAGATACATTACGAAATTCACGTATAGTTATGTAAATAAGTTATTAGTGAAAAAAGTACTTTGGAACTAGATAGTTGGATAGTATGCATTGTATTGTTGTAAGTTAAGTAATCTAGTGGAAATCTATAGAAAATTACTTGGCCTTCGCCAACTTGCATCACTTATGGCTTAGGCGAGATATCTGTTTGCTAATCAAAGGTCGAGTGTTTGCTCCGTTCTTCTATATGGATGCGAAACATGGCCGGCAAGAGTAGAAGATATTCGTAGGTTACTAGTATTTGATCACGGGTGTCTTAGAAGCATTGCTGGATTATCGTGGGACGACCGAGTAAGCAATGCTGTCGTTAGGAAACGGGTGCTAGGTAAGGATGGCAGATCAATAGATGAAGTGGTGAAACTTCATCAGTTGAGCTGGTTGGGACATGTGTTACGAATGTCTAACCACCGACTGACTTGAGGAGAAGTATTTTGTGTTGTAGGTTCAGGCTGGAAGAAAGTTAGCGGCGACCGGACCAAAACATGGTACAAATCCATGAAGTCACTAACAAGTGGACTGAGTCAGGTGGATGGGTGTCGACTAGCTGTTCGGGGTCCGCGAGACGAAAGTCACCGATGGTTAGAGACCATGAATGACATGGCTCAAAATCGTTTGCAATGGTGCAGGTACATCCACTCTTTGTGTTCTCTCAAATCCTAATCTTCTGGATTTGTCAACACCTCTACCTTTGTCTTTCTAAACTTATCTCACAGAATGAATTATAATTCTTGAATATTATCTTTTCCATTATCAGTAATTCTTCTACTATCTCTACCACTGTGGGATTCGAATTGACAATTGAGTCTCTGTGCTAATGTGGTATGGCAACATGAACTGATGTACTTACATACGAAGTTCTACGTTGTAACTGACTGACTGACAGAAAATCACAATCTTAAAACAAGATAACTACTAGGAAAGTTCAAATGGATTAAGGTTCAATGATGTTGACGTCCAATACATATTATTTATCGAAAGCTCATTGAATCTGAATAAGTAGTTTCTTCTGATGTCAGCAATTTGC